TGTAAAATAATTCTGAGTGGCGTTTGGGGGCATTTGGGAAAAATCAGAATGGCCACCAAGCAGAAAAACTTTGGTTCTTTTTTGTGAAGGCAGACATTAAAAGGCAAACTGTTTATAAATACATTTATTGCCCTTCTGGTTCCCAACTTTTTCCTCACACGCCTGGCTTGTCAATAATGAATCTCTACCCCAAAGCCCAGATTTTCAAGGCTGAATCCCGATGTTGATCTCAACTCCAGTAGTCCACTGAGTCAATGGGGCTTTTAAAATCCCAGCACTTACATAAATCCCATTGATTCTGCCAGTCTCCTCTAGATGAGATTTAACACTTGGATTTGATGTTCAGCGGTTTTGAGATTAGAGAACTGTGAAAATGTGAGCCCTCTAAATGCTTTTGCATGCTTTTATTTTTTTACTGCAGTTTTTGATTATTTTTAATTGATTTTTTCCTTCTTCAGGACGAACTCGACTGGGGGCGTTCCAACTACATTCACATCAAGAGAATTAGAGAGGTGCCTTCACTTTCTTCCTCCTTCTACCCCATTAATACAAAGTACTTGGACTGGGCTTTGTCAGGACGGAAAAAGCCAGGCACAGAATCCCCATCGCCTCTAATCACTGAGTGGAGATGGCTAAGGGCTCTGCTCTGGATAGGCTCAGAGGGCAAAGGACAGGTTGTGGTTTGCCTACAGAGCTTTGCAGGCCAGACGGGGAACCTCTGTGGACCATATTATGTCTGCAATTCAGTGATGCCCACTTCCTCCATCCATACAGTCACACACCTTGATGACCTTGTGCAGGGTTACTGCTCTACCAGTGCAGATCACAGCTCTTCCGAACTGTCATTATGTTCGTAGTTTCAGAGGCCAGCTTGTCGTGTGGTGGCTATCCATTTGGGGCCATGTCTCCTAGTGCTTAACCGGGTTGCTTCTTCAATATGATGTTCATCGCATGAATTCTTACCAGCTTAGTAGAACCTACCACAATGTGCAGTCTGCTGACATAGCCTCTGAGAACCCAGAGTCATTCTTTTTGTTGTGAGGAGGAGCCCTAATGGGACTTTGCAGGATGCAGGCGAGGGGGCAGGGACACATCTGTATCCACATAGAAAACAATCATACAGGCAGCCTCTTGTTGATGAAGCAGTTGGGGGGCAGTTAACCGTTTTCATCCGGTGCAGATCACAGCTCTTTGTGTTCATAGTTTCAGAGGCCAGCTTGTCGTGGGGTGGCTATCCATGTGGGGTCATGTCTCCTAGTCCTTAACCGGGTTGCTTCTTCAATATGATATGCATCGCATGGATTCTTACCAGCTTAGTAGAACCTACCACAATGTGCAGTCTGCTGACATAGCCTCTGAGAACCCAGAGTCATTCTTTTTGTTGTGAGGAGGAGCCCTAATGGGACTTTGCAGGATGCAGGCGAGGGGGCAGGGACACATCTGTATCCACATAGAAAACAATCATACAGGCAGCCTCTTGTTGATGAAGCAGTTGGGGGGCAGTTAACCGTTTTCATCCCAGCACTTTCTTTTTCATTTGAAATCCCCTTTCTTCGAGGCATACCATTAGGCCCATGGGGAACAGTGGCTAAGGTAACACACACAGTCATTTCTGTAACCCAAGCCAAAAGCAGCTTGAGAAAAAGATGAAGACAACATGGAAGAAAAGTTAAGTCCCCATCTGCTAATACTGCTGCCCCAAGCTAATTGTGTCTCTTTCCACTTCCCACCGCTCCAGAGTGATTATTTTTTTTCAAAAATCACATGGTCCTTTAAGATCTGTGTAAGGCAATACAGTGGTGCCCCGCATAGCGAGGTTAATCTGTTCCGGATTAACCTTCGCTATGGGGAAACATCGCTAAACGGAACGGAAAAGCCCAACTTCATTTAATGCGTTCCAAATGGGCCCAAAACATAGGGAGTGATGAGAAAAAGATGAAGAAGACAACATGGAAGAAAAGTTAAGTCCCCATCTGCTAATACTGCTGCCCAAGTTAATTGTGTCTCTTGCCACTTCCCACCGCTCCAGAGTGATTATTTTTTTTCAAAAACACACGGTCCTTTAAGATTTGTGTAAGGCAATATGTCACTTACCATGCTGCAGCATGCTTCTGCTGTAAACAATTCACAAGAGCTTTGTGGCACAGTGGCTGTATGTGAGTGTTCACTGTCAGCCTCCAACTTTTGCTCAAACAAACTAGGAGTCATTTTAATCCAACATCCAAACTGGTGTTTATTTCTCTCATCAATGGCAAAATATCTCTCATCGGATCATTTTGTAACTTCTCTTGCGATGCCAACGGGCCTCGCAAGGGTAACCATAGTTCTTTAACGTGGTTCTCTATGAATCCACACTGATGGGTTAAACAGCGCCTGCGCTGGTTCCTCTCGGAATTTTCCAGAGCTATGAGGGAAAAGATACAATGTTTGAGTTGCCCTGCACTGCGCAAGTGCAGCCCGCCAAAAATCCCTGAACAGCTGTTCCCCCATCGCAATGCGATAAAACGTCGGTATGCAATCACATTAACGATCGCAAAATCCGCATCGCTATGCGGATTCATTGTTAAACGGTGTGCTCGTTATGCGAGGCACCTTTGTATGTCACTTACCATGCTGCAGCATGCTTCTGCTGTAAACAATTAACAAGAGCTTTGTGGCACAGTGGCTGTATGTGAGTGTTCACTGTCAGCCTCCAACTTTTGCTCAAACAAACTAGGAGTCATTTTAATCCAACATCCAAACTGGTGTTTATTTCTCTCATCAATGGCAAAATATCTCTCATCGGATCATTTTGTAACTTCTCTTGCGATGCCAACGGGCCTCGCAAGGGTAACCATAGTTCTGAATCAAAAGGGTTCAGGGTCCTGGAACAAAGGGGTCATAACTGGGAACATCGGCTTCAGTTCCTTCTTCCCTCAATAGCGGTAGGGTCTCACGATCTCCGACTTCTCTCCATATCGGGTCTCCCTCTCCAGTAAAGTGTCCCCACAGTCCCGGAGGTATACCATCCTCCGTGCCTCCTCCGCTTGCCGTGCCCGACGTGCTTCGGCTTCCCTTGCCACTGCCTCTTTCTCCTCTCTCAGTCGTCTCCTCCACTGCTTGCCTCGGATTCACCCCAGTACGACGGACGTTGGGGTAGTCCTCATCTACGGCAGTAATGTGTAGCCTGCATAATTAAAATGTAAACCGCCCAGAGAGTGCTTGAAGCGCTATGGGGCGGTATATAAGCAGCACGCTTTGCTTTTGCTTTGCTTAATCTGCCTCTTCCCGAGGTACCTTTATATTTTCGCATTTCCCCATCCATCCATGAGTCCTCCACCCAGATGAGTTTCCAACCCCCCGGGTATGTTGTCGTGGTCCCTATTTATAATCCCCATTCCCACCTCCACTACGGACCTCCCCTTTTCCTCTCTTCCCACCAATTCCCTCTCCGTCTGCGTTGCCACAGTCAGACCCCATAGATTTGTTTCCAGCTCCCGGGTGTTTATTCCCTGGTGTATCTTTCTTGGAGGGGTTGGTGGCTGAATGATCTGCACCTCTTTGGATGTCTTATTTGGAGACGGCACTCTGACAACAGCCTCTATGCTCTCGTCCCGCTTATCACACTATACTGCAGCCAAAACTCTGTTCATGACTCAGGTTCAATCCCAGGCAGTTGGCTTGAGGTTGACTCAGCCTTCCATCTACCTGAGGTCAGTAAATTGAGTACCCAGCTTGCTGCAGAGGCAATGTGTTGCCTGCATGATTAACAATGTGTTGCCTGCATGGGGAATTCTAGAAGTTGGAGTAAGAAAAGGAACGAAGGAAGGCAGGAGGCAGGCAAAAACCCTAGTTCCATTTTCATTCTGCTTTTCTTTCAGTTAACCCAAGGCAGCAACATGGCCCTCCTTATTTTTTATCTTCACAACATTGTCCATGGTAGATGAGCTGAAGCCATGTGGTTGGCCCCAAATCACCCAATCTATTCCTTGGCTAAGTTGAAATTTGAACCTAGGTTTCTCCGAAGCCTAGTCCTGTACTCTAGTCACTGCAGAGCGTTAGTTCAGAGTTATGCACATTATTCTGGCTTTACAGATATACAGTTAAAAGTGTTTTATTTTTCACCTGCGCTAGCAGTGGCAAGCACACAACTCCACTTTCTTTTACTTTTGAAGTAATTTGTACTTGTTTGTGATTCTCATTTCAAGAGTACAGTATTGGTGGAGGGCATGGCAGATGTTGAGTGTTCAAAGCAGAACTGTAGTGTTCCTGCTACTGTCAGAGATAAAGAGATTTAGACACCATTGATTACAGTGTAGTGGATGCATCAGTGATCTGTTTATATTTTTATTTTTTAGATAAATATCGTCTCTCATTCACATCCTCCAGGCAAGGTTGCAATAAACTGGGGGTTTTTCGGTGCAGCTCAAAGAAAATATGTGTTCCAACCAAATGCTTCTTTAAGAATATTTAAGTTTCTTTCGTTGATGGGAAAGGGTGGGAAATTTGAATTTTCCGCCCCTTTCCCCTGCCTTTTTTCATTCTCAGGTCGAGGCTCCGTTCGCAAGTCAAGGCCAGTTCTTCAACGTGGTTCTCCATGAACACGAAGAGTCAGACACGACTTAACGACTAAAGAACAACAACAACAACACTAATTTAGCTATTGGTCAGGATGTCCGCTGCCTAGGACATACAAAATAGCAAGAATTTTGGGTTGGTTTTTTTCCGGCTGTTTTCTTTTTTTGTATTTTGCCTTGTTGAGCTTATGTTTTTGATGTTCCTGTCATATTATGTGTATAAATCTCAGATTATGATTATTAGGTGGCCGAATTGTATGAAGAGTTGAAAATAAGAGTTTAGCTATTGGTCAGGATGTCCGCTGCCTAGGACATACAAAATAGCAAGAATTTTGGGTTGGTTTTTTTCCGGCTGTTTTCTTTTTTTGTATTTTGCCTTGTTGAGCTTATGTTTTTGATGTTCCTGTCATATTATGTGTATAAATCTCAGATTATGATTATTAGGTGGCCGAATTGTATGAAGAGTTGAAAATAAGAGTTGCTGAATTCAATATGCATGTCAACAGTCAGCCTCCTGCCTTGGATCATGAGCATGTGTATAAGCAGCGTTTCATTTTACAGGTAAAGCTGGGCCTTTTATAAGGTTATTAAAGACTCACCAATTAAAATCTCTCCAGTATAAGTTAAATTATACATAGGTGGGTTTCAGGAGCTTGTGCCATGCACCTGCATTTTTGTTAGGGGCTGGATGGAGAACGAGTCTCCACCTTTGACTTGGCCACTGAGCCACCCACTCCTGAGAAGCTTCCTGCCTCTCCGCTCTTCCATCCCGCCCCCCAACGATCTAGGACCTGTGAGTCCTGGCAGTTCTTTGTGATGAATCACACAACTGTACTGATTTGTGAATTCACAGATGACCATTCAAAAAAACCAGAGATACAGATCAGCGATTTTGTCCTCCTTCCTGTTTTGAGCTTTCTGGCTCATCCGCACTGAGAGATTCATGACTGGTAAACATCTTTTTCTTCAAGATGGGCCTTTTAAACTACCTACTTAGAGACAGAGACAGAGATGGAGGGATGAAAAATGGACTCCAAATGCTTGAGTTACGGTCTTATTCCTGTTTGAATTCTCTTCTAAAAGGGAAGTTTTATTTTTAAAGCAAATTGTTCTCTTATCTCTCAGGTCGTTATGGCTGGAGCTTTCTATCCAAATTATTTTACTTTGGGACAACATGATGAGGAACTTGCTGTAAGGGAACTGGCAGGAAATGATCCCCAAACTACTGTGATGGTATGTTAATTGACGTTTGAATAGCCTGCACTGCATATGCGATTACTGGACCAATTTTTTTCTTTTGTAATAGATATGAAACTGTAGCTTATTTTTTCTGTATTCTGCCTTTTCAAATTGCTCCAAGTAACATATGTGGTCCTCATCTCTTCTGTTTTATTCTCATAGTAAACATGCGGTTCCCATTGGTATTCCTTGGCCCACATCATATAGCATTTTTTCGTATACAGTGGTGCCTCGCTTAACGACGATAATCTGTTCCAGGAAAATCGCAGTTAAGCAAAAACATCATAAAGCGAAAATAAAAACCCAGTTGAAACCCGTTCAGTGCGTTCCAGTGAGGTAAAAAGTCACAGTCCAGTGAAGATCCTCCATACAGTGGCCATTTTCGCTGCCTGTATAGCGAGGAATCCATCCCTAAACACAGCGGGGAGCCCTTTTAATTACCTGGCGGCCATTTGAAACCACCAATCAGCTGTTCTAAAAACATCATTTTGCGAAGAATTGGTTCCCGAAGCAGGGAACCGATTATCGCAAAGCGAAATTCCCTCATTTAGGCCATTGTTTTGCAATCGCAATTGCGATCACAAAACCATCATCGTAAAGCGGATTCGTCGTAATGCGGGACAATCATTAAGTGAGGCACCACTGTATTCTGTTCCTATATTTACTATTTCTTCACGTAATTTGTTTATCTTCCATGTTACATTGGCATTCTGCAGTGGCTTACGTTCTTCAGACACTTTATTTATTTATTTTATATGTTTAAAATATTTTTACTCTGCCTTTCTCCTTAAAAAGACCACAAGATGGCTCATATCATTAAAAGACAATATTAAAGCTAACCGCAGAGAGTATGCAAACACTAAAAAAGGATCAAACAAATAACCATACAAAAATACATTCAAAACAGAAAGGTATAACAGTCCATTTAAAAAACCCATTCAAACAGCCAATCAGTCAAGGAAAAACTCGCTGGAAAAGAAAGGTCTCGCTTGCAAGAGGACAGCAAAGATAGGGCCAGCCTAGCCTCCTGTGGGAGAGAGTTCCAAAGTCTGGGAGCAGCAACAGAGAAGACCCTCTACCATGTCCCTCCCCAAACAAACGCACCTTTGAAGATGGCAGGACCGAGAGAAAAGCCCCTCCTGATGTTCTTAACACTCAAGGAAGCTCATAAAGGGAGAAGGTTCTTGAGATAGCTTGGGCCCAAGCTGTTTAGGGCTTTATAAGTTAAAACCATCATTTTGACTTCTGCCTGGAAACGGATCAGCAGCCAGTGGAGTTACTGTAACAGGGGAGTTGTGTGATTCTTGTAATCAGCCTCAATCAGCAATCTGGCTGCTGTGTTTTGGACCTGCTGAAGTTTATGAACACTTTCCAGAAACTGTTACAGTACCACAATAAAAAATAAACAGCAAACTGAATTACAATTTGAATGGGTCTAAGTGTTGCAGGGGACGTGGTGGCGCTGTGGGTTAAAATGCAGAAGCCTCTGTGCTGCAAGGTTGGAAGACCAGCAGTCGTAAGATCAAATCCACACGATGGAGTGAGCACCCTTCGTTCCTGGCCTCTCTCTCTAACTGCCCCACTAAACTCACACAGAATATGTTTCCATTCTCTCACTTTATTCAGCAGCTCCAGCTCACAAGCTCTCTTGAGGTTTTGAATGCAGCTAGATGTAACTGTAAAACCCCAAGCCAGGGCCAGGAGGCTTATGTGGAAGTGCCGTCGCTCCCGTCCCGTGCTAATGCGACTCAGACTTCCCCTCCACCTTCTCCACCTAGGAAAGAAAGTAAACAGGTGGATACTAAAGAGCTGGAAGAGATGACAGAGAAAGAAGGGCGGAGACACCAAGGGGTTGACACCAGGGACTTGGTACAGGCGCTGAGAGGGTTAAATGTGTCTGAGAAAACCGAAAGAAATTTGGCGGGAAGAGGGGAGGGGGAGATAGAGGCGGGAGCCGGGGATATAAGGGCGAAGCGGGAAGAGATCCCGGGTGGTTGGGAAATTATATGGGTCCAAGACCCGTGGACAGGAAAATGGGAACAAGTAAAGGTTCCGAATGAAGAGGCAGAGAGGAGGAGACGCCAGGGACAACAATCCCGTCCATCTTATTGGGGGGAGACTGAGGCTAAAGAGTGGCGGCGACGCCTGAGGGAAGAGAGAGAAGCAGCGGCAAGAGAGTTGGAGGCAAAGAAGGCATGGAATCTCACAGAGCTACAGAAGATGGGGATCTACCCGGACCCATGGTTGGCCAGCCCAGGAGAGGGTTCCCCGTTCTGGGGCTGGAGCGGAGATGAAGAGACCCTTCCACTATTAGAACCAGAGATGGATGACGGCGAAGAATGGTGGACTGTGGATATTGGAGGAAACTAACCCATTTGTTAGTAACGTTTGGACTCCCTTGCGGTCGAAGTTTAGACCCCAAGAGAATTTAGAAACTGTTCCAGGAGACGTTCCAGTTAATGTTGAATTGTTAATAAATGAAAACAAAGTTGAACCGTTAAATGAATCTCGTGCTTTATTGACTGTGACTGATCACCCCCCCCCCAAACACAGAACCCTCACAGTAACCAGGAGATCAGCTACCCTGGTCTTGTTGTTCACCGTCAGGAAATAAACAGTCAGCAGGATTGAAATACTGTACTGGGAACCTTGGTTGGAAGTGGCCAGACCCCTTTGGGATTTGTTATATTGAGGAGATGGAAAGCTGAGGATAATAGGATGGACATTGTGAAAATTGAATGAGGTCTCATGGTCAGAAATACTCAAAGAAAATGCCATCTTGAAAACCAGGAAGGCAGCATAAGCAACTTCCCGATTAGGTGAGCTTTAAAGAGGGCAAGTATAGGAAGTGGAAGGAGGGGTAAATCACCGAGGAAGAGTATAGACAAGTAGTCAGTATTTGTAGGGAGAAGGTTAGGAAAGCTGAACCTGAGAAGAAACTTGCAAACAAGGTTAAAATAATAAAATGGGGCTTTCAGCATGTTTGGAGTAAGGAGAACGACAAGAACCATTGAATGGAAGGATGATCCAGGCTTATCTTATCTCTTATTTTGAGAGTCACAAGATTGGTAGATGAGTGGAATGCTGTACATGTAGAATATCTTGATTTCAAAAAGATTTTTGAAAAGCTTTCTCATGATACTTGCATGACCAAGCTGGTAACATGTGGACTGTATGATGATGCTGTTGGGTGGATTTGTAGCTGACTGAGGGATTGTCTTCAGAGACGACACACAGTTCCATGTGATTGTGGAGAGCAGTGACAGTTGAGTTGTCCTGGGCTTAATGTTCAATAGCTTAACAGAGAATTTTGATGGTCTAGAGGCGATGTTTGCAGATGACATCAAAGAGGGAGGCTGCTAAAGCTTTGGAAGACAAAAATCTAGATTAACAGATTGGAGAACTAGGCCAGAACAACAACAACAGCAACAAAAATAGTGTGCAACTACACTGGAAAGCCAATAGGAACGACCAATTTGAATTGGCCTTTGCAGCATATGGTCAGTAAAAAAATACTTGGAAATCTTTTTTATAAAAGAAGGAAATTCCACGGTACTTGACCATGTAATTGCATTTTGAATTTCAAAGGGAAAAGTGTGAAGTTCTACATTTAGGCTGGAAAATCCCAGATGCAAGAATATAGGATGTGGGACAATTGACTTGGCCAGCAGTATATCCAAAAAGAAGTTAGGGACCATGGTTTGCCACCAGGTAAACAAAAATTAATGTTGTGATAGGGTGACAGAAGGTCCAAATGAAATGTTAAACTGCGTCAACCAGTGTTCCCTCTAATTCTCCAGAGTGTTGCGCAGTGGTTCCAACTCCCTGTGTGCGGGATTCCAGTCATAACTGGAAGCAAATAGGTGGGACCCCCTGACTCAGCTGCACATCCACACAGTTTAGCGGGAACATTGGTGTCAACTGAAGTACAGGACTTGTGTTCTGTGGCTCCAGTTTAGAGAGTAGGATTCTAAAAGTTGTGGGTTCGAGTTTAGAAGTCATGGGTAGAAATGACAAGAAAGCTTTAGGAAGAGCTTCCTGATAGGAAGAAGCACCCATCAGTCTAATGGACTAACGTGGAAGCAGATGATCTCCCTTGCACTGGAAGTGTTTGACCAGAAGGAGAATGGCCAGTTATCAGGGCTGCTTTCTTTGGATTTTCTGCATCATGAGCAGTTTCTCATGGTGACCTTAGGGCTCTTTCTAACTGAATAATTCTATTTTTTCATGGGTGAACATCAGCCTTCTGGCTACGAGTTTTGATTTTCTTTCTAATTTTAACTCCTCTTATATTCCTGATCTCCTTCTCCTCCTTTCGGTGACTTTGCATTGTTCTATTCCCCCCCCCAAAAAAATTTTTTATTCTTCACTGTTTTCTTTATTGTTTTATTTATTTCAAAAAACATCTTGAAGATACTTTCAAAACAGCTCCTGATGTGGTGCTTGTGCTCTTAATCTTTTACTCTGAATCCCAGATACATTCTTGCTGCGCATATATTAGACCATCTTATTCCACGGAGCTTGTTTGCTCCATTTCTGCTTGATATTTGTGTGTGTGTGTGTGTGTGTGTGTGTGTGTATGTGTGTGTGTGAGAGAGAGAGAGAGAGAGAGAGAGAGAGAGAGAGAGAGACACTTAGGAATGGTGGCAAACAATGCAGAAAGGACAGATTAGACTAAAGGAAGGATGTGTGAAAAGAAACAAAGACGGGGAGGGGGGGAAAGGAATGTGAATGAAGCAGGAAGTGGGAGCAAAGAAAAAGTAAAGCCAGCAAAAACCTTACATGAGCCCCAGGAATGAGAGAGGCTGTTTTTTGGCAGGAGTAGAAATGGCAGATGATAGATCTTTGGATGGTGAAAGATGGTAGGCCAAGGAGCCTAAAGAAGATAAGGGAGAGAGGATTGTTGAAATTTGCATTTATCTTTTGAGCTCATCCACTGCATCTCTGACAGGTTGCTATCATATGTTTAACTAGTAGAATTCTTACGTTAATATTCCTCAGGCGCTTGCAGTTTGTGAACACTGCCTTGTGACATAAAGCATTCATAAATGAATTTGGCTAGGATTATAGCCAAAATCAGATTGCTTTCTTTAACATGCAAAAATGCAACACACATTTTTTTTATTTTAACAGTTGCAGAGCATTCCCCCGTATGGTTTCCTCTACTATAAACAGCTGCAGTCTCTCTTCAGACAGTGTGGTCAAGTCAAGTCCATTTCTTATGATGGAAGCAAGTAAGTAAATTGCAATTGTTAACACATGATGCAATTTTTGTATTGCTTCATCGGTTATACACAACACACACACATGCACAGACACACACGTATATATGCACCCACACTACCCTCATGCAACTACACTGCGCTCTGAAGACCATTCCCATCTTGGAAATCATATTCAGTCACCCCAGTGATTTCTCAGTTTTCAACAGGTCTTTTCTATAAACTTTCTTTTCAGTCACTGGCAATAAAAATGTGCATTAATTAACTTGTAGCAATTAATTAATGACCAAAAGCTCCCGTAACCGTCATGAGAAGCTGACTGTGGCCAGGGCTGCTTTGGCGAGGGCCTTCTCTGGGGCCACTTGTTGTTTTGGAACTCTTTGCTTAGGGAGGTGAGGATATGGCCCCTTCCTTCCCGTTTTTCAGGCAAAGACCTTTTGACTCAGGCAGACCTTTGCAGTCCGTAGCCTGCTTAAGGACAGGAACTTTAACAGCTGGTGTTCTTCCATTGATATTTTCATCATTGATATTTTAACAGATGCGCAGCCATTCTCAACTATTTTTTTGCCATGGCCATAAACACAATATGAAGGAAATATAGACTGCATCAGGATTGTACAAGTCACATAACAAACTTTATAAGGTGGCGTGTGAAGAATTATTTCTGGTCTGTGGCCCCTTTAAAATGTGCCAGAGTGCCCCCACATGGGGACCATGTAGCCCCCACTGAGAATGGCTGCTTTTAAGTGTCTTCACTTTAATCTTAATCTTGGTTTAGTTAGTATAATCCATTTGATTAGATTTTAATGAATTTAATTTAAATTTTTGTAATTGTGTTTTAGTAGACTGTTGGGTTTTTTTAAAACTCTTGTACAGCATGTTGGGGCCCCACTTTTGGGAGAAAGGCTGCAGATCAGTCTAGATAAGAAAGGGGGCTGATGCAGTATTGTCTTGATTTTGATCCTCCACCTTTGTTTTTTGTCTTATCCTCCTTCAACGTAGAGCCTTTGTACAGTTTTCCCGGAATCCGACTGAAAGCTTTAAAACTCTTCCTGCGGTGTATCTGGCTCTCAAGATGTCACAGCTTCGGACACAACTTGAACTTAATGTGCATTCCCCAGAAGTGATTGAAGGGAAAATGGGAGAAACAGCTATGCTTGTGAAAGGGACACGGTAGGCTTGTTTAGGTTTCCTTCATCACAGGAAACTGTTCTGTCTTCAGCAGGGCTTGTCAAAACGACAGTCCCATAGTGGTCATAGCTGTGCGTGTTTCAAAGAAATTAGAAATTTGCAGCTGGTGTAAAATATGCAAAATATAGAACTCTTCACATGATTTCAGCATAATTTATTCTGCTGTTAGAGATGGAGAATGAGTTAACACTGGATACTGAAGCCCTCTAATTCTGCTAAACTCCCACTTTGGATGGAGTCTTCTGTACTTTTCTCTGTGGATGCAAATATCTGTTTTGCAGGTTTGTGCGTGGAGGCATACAGTACTCCCTTGTGAGAATATAAGCTCAGTTAGATGCAACAGTGCAGTCTATAGCTTTCCTAACAGGGCACTGTCTGATTTGCAAAAGCCAGAGAACTCACAGGACACAACACCACCAGAGTGTATTAGACTCTAGGCTTGCAAACAGGATACTAGCCTCTGCCTTCAGATATGTAATCAGGTTTTGACAGCATAGTTTAAAGCTCAAAAGCCACAGGGACTAGAAGCATGCTCATTGACTGTAAGTGAAAATTTCTCAAGATGCTGAATTTTGCAGTCTGTATTACATTTTGGAATATTCCCATGATTCTGGAGTTACATTTTAGAAGAGCCAGTCGTGTTAGTTTGTGCTAGCATATCTGAGAAAGTGGACTTGTCCACAAAAGCTCACATTAAAGTATTACAGTTAGTTTTTAAGGTGTCACCACATCTTTGTCTTCTTCATTTTTAATGTTTCTTTTGTTTTGGCCTGTTACTCTGGAGTTACCGAAAGCAAAATAAGAGCAAAATTAATAATTTGAGCTGAATCTTTAGAGAGCAAATAGAATCTAAAGGTATGGATATATACAAAGCTCACACACACATGCACAAACAATGTGCATGCAAGAAATGGATAACAGTGCTCAGTATTTCCTAGAACATATAACATTTAAAAACACATTATTGTTTTAGTTAAACAAAATGCTATACAAAAGCAATCTATGTAGCAGTGAGTCAAATGAGTTAAATTCTTGTAAACACTCTATGTGCAGATTTCCTTTCCTAATGAAGGGTTCCATTGACATTGGCTTGTAATGCTAACCAAAATTAGCTTAAACCCAGCTTTGAAAACCAGCTGCTTCCAACCTGGCTGTTATTTGGAAGTTCAATCTTGGCAACTGGACTTCTTTCTTGTTAGGTTGAAAGGTTTCCCTGTTCATCCAGGTAGCTTCTTCAGTCTGAGGAGAGTTGGTAGGAGATCCTTGATATATCCTCCACATTGATTTCACTTCCCCCTGGTCTAAATAGGCTGGTTAGATGGACCCCTCTCTCAAACCATCTATTTTCTCAGTCCAAAATGAGTACATCTTGGTCATCAAATGAGTGTCTTTTGTCCTTCAAATGAAGGAACCCTGCAGATTGCAGTCCTGAGCCATTGCCCCTCCTGTGCCAGGCCATTCACTGGCTGTATGGTTTCTCCATTGTAGAGTTCCGAACACTCCTCTTTGCATTGGACCGCACATACTACATTGCTCCTGTTGTGTTTTGGTATCGAGTCTTTTGGGTGGATGAGTCTCTGCCTTAGTGTGCTTGCGGGTTTGAAGTGCACGGGTATGTGGTGTTTACCAAAAATTCTTTTGAGATTTTCAGACATCAGCTCTGGGTCTCAAGACTAATCCACTGTGCTCCTGGGTCAATTGCCTTGTTAAAGGCCCATTTTGGATATCCACAGGCCTTACGGGTTGTCTTCAGATGTCCATCTTCTTTCTTCTTGCTCCTGGGTCAGGACATTGCTTTGATAAAGGCCCGTTTTAGATATCCACAGGCCTTAAGGGCTGTCTTCAGATGTCCATCTTCTTTCTTCTTGGCTTCTGTTTGAAGGACAAAGGACACTTATTTGATGACCAAGATGTAACTCATTTTGGACCAAGAAGATAACTCGTTTGAGAGAGAAGTCAGGGAGGCCATACATGTGCATAAAGAAAATCCCTCACTCAACAGGGGTGGAGGTCTTAGATACAATCTGCCTCCTATTTATCATGCTGCCTTTTCATCCATCCCCAGAAAGATTAGGACCACAAAGGCCAGAAAGACCACTGTTAACGACTTTTAAGGACCCATGACAATGGGTGGAGAAGCCCAAAAAGACCACTGTTAACGACCGTTAAGGACCCATGACAATGGGTGGAGAAGGATTGCAGAAGTGGGATTATCCCTCACTCCCAGTCAGTCCTTTGACCTTCCAATGAGCCTATTCAGTGCAAGGGGAAGTAAAACCAACGTGGAGGACATATCGGAGATCTCCTACCAACTCTACTCAGACTGAAGAAGATACATGGAGGAATAGCAAAACGTTTCAACCTAACAAGAAATTCGTGGAGGAGTAGCAAAACGTTTCAACCTAACAAGAAAGAAGTCCAGTTGCCATGACTCAACTTTCAGATAACCTCGCCTGGGTGACTGAGAATCTTCACAGAAACCTTGCTGGTAGTAAACAAAAGCAGTAACTACATAACTCAGTTTTTGCAGAGAAACAAGATATTGCAGAGACCTTGGTGGGGTAAAAAAGGAGCTTCTGTTGCTTATCTGGGTAAGAAGGAATTCAGTGCAGGCAAATGAGAAGGCTGGCAGAGATGGGGTGGAGCAGTGTACAGAAACTAAACAGGGTGCCACAAGACGTGACGTGTCTCTTTGTCCCCACCACTGCCCCTCTTTTTGCCAGCTGCTCCCAAGAGATTGTAAGTTTTTTGGGCAGGTGCATGAGGTTTGGTTCGTTTTTTGCAGGCAAGTCACTCTTTCAGGTTTGTCTTGAAGGGGGGGCAGAGTGTCAAAAACACAGCAGCTGAATGATGTCATATTCTGTGTATTTGTTTGCAGAGTGAATGTGGATTTTCAGAAGCATACGGTGGCTCCCGTGCAAAAGTTCAGCAACACTTCGGAAAAACTGCAGACCTTAAGTAGCCTTGACTTATCTATCAATGTCACAGAGGTACAGGCATCTTAACGTGTAGAACTGTTTGTATATCACTGTAGCGAATGATGGTGGCGGCGAATTCTAACATGGGATGAATTGGGTATGAATGTTCCAATGTTCCTACATTGGATGATTGTAGGTATGCATGTTCCAATGATCCTCTAGTTTGTTTCTGATCAGACTATTCAGAATCTGTTCTAAGATGAGCAGAGATGCTTTGAGCATTTCTTGACATGGTCCCTCTCTCTCCCTCCTCCTTTTTCTCTCTCTTTCTCCCCCTCCTTGCTTTCTCACGCACCACATACACACATGCACATTCTTTTCATCAGTGTCCTATTGTGTTGAACTGCATCTGACCCGAAGGCTCTTGCAGTCTTCATGATTGAGTGATGTCGACATATGTAGGTTACACCCATCTTATGTAGGAGCTTTATAAGAACTGTATTGAAGAACTGAAGGTTACCTTTAGCAAGCAGTCCTTTCCAAAGCTTAGCTTCCAGTTGGACTGCTCATAAACAGACCCTAAATTGTGTTCTAATCTGCCTTTATTTGACTATAAGCTCACCTTTCACAACGTGATTTTAAAGCAAAGGCTTTGAAATATTTTATGTTGTTTATGTGTGTAGAGCATGTATGCACCTATGCATACATAAATGTATAAGTCCCTAAATAACAAACCAAGAAATCTCTGTGTTCCTTTTTCTCATTCATCGTACATTAGGATGGGTAATGGATGACCCTTAAACGCTGTTTATGTGACTGTCAGCCTTGTGGACTTGTTAGCCTTGTGGGAAGATGATGTTGTCATCTTCCCACAAGATCATCCATCAAAATGTAAAGGCAAATGGATAAAAGTCAGGAAAACATGCTAAAAATGGTTAACATAAGCTTCTTCCACTTTCTTTGATACTGAAATTTGGTGGAGCAACAGCAGGAAAAATGTGTGGCATATAGTACAGCAGGACCCTCATATCCATGGCATCAATATCTGCTGATTCACTTATTCAGTCTGAAAATACTAAAAATATTAAGAGAAAAATACTAGGAATATATTTTTCCAAATATCAAGTTTCCCGAACTGACGAATAGAGGGAGCCAGAGACCGTGCTGTGTATCACATTCGCTATTAAATTAGCATTTGCTGTGGTCCATGTTTTTGAGTATCTGTCGGAGGGGGGCTTGGAACAGATCCCCTGCGGATATGGGGGTCCTACTGTAATTTTGGTAGGGTACAGAATGGATTCCCTGTCCTGCTCTGCAGATGTGGATGCTTGACCACTGTACACTACTGATGTGAGGAATACTTACTAGTTTCCTTATTTTTATCTGTTTAGCTGTCTTAACACAGTAAGACATCTTGATGCGGAATTCTCAAGCCCTGTAAAATTCCTTGCCCCTAAGTGCAAAAATGAGTCTACGGAGTACTCCCCCCCCTCGAAGGACTCTGCAGTTTGTGTAAAATGTTGCTGTTCAACATTGATGTCCCTTGTCTGTGAGAATTAAACATAGGTAAAGGAAACCTAGAAGGATTGGGAGATTGTTTTAAAAAAATACAAACAACCCGTCCAGTGCCTCCCAAGTTTTAAACAGCCATAGGAATTCCATGAAACAAAGAGGTAGTTGTCATAGGTTTATGCACTCTCTATATGTCTACAGAAAGTATTCTCACAGTGTGAAAGTCCATCAAAACCAGTAGAAAAGATCTTGTGCTCTTGCAAGAGAAGGTATTTTTAACAGTTTCTCCCCCCCCAACACACAAATGAAATGATTGAGGAGTTACATCTCTAAACATACACTCTCTTCCTTGACTGACATTGCCTGTTTGTACAGATGCCGATTTCTCCCAAACGACAGAGACCTTTATAGGTTGGGGAGGATCACTCTTTGTCTCATTCTTGCTGGACAGGCTCTTCTCAGAGACAGGCGTGTGGGCTTTTCCATCCTTGATAATAAAATGTTAGCCTTTGAACATCTGTTAAACAAGAGTCTAGTTTGTTTAAGATTTGAGTCGTCTGTTGGTTTGTTTCCCTTTAGGTGGTAGAGGTTGGGCACTTCTGGGGTTACAGAATCGATGAGAGAACTATGACTTTACTCAGAAATCTGTCCATTGAAATCAACCAACTGGAACTGAACCATTTGCCAGTTCGCCCCTGTCCAGATTTGGTTTGTTTGGCCCCGTTTACTGATTGGGAAGATGAGAGCTATTACAGAGCTCAGATCCTGTATGTGTCTGGAGAGAGTGCAGAGGTATGTCTTTCTTAAAAAACCCAAAGTTTCACAGTGTTGGAGAGTAATGGAAAAAAATTATACAGCGGTGCCCTGCTTGGCGATGTTAATTTGTTCCAGCGAAATTGCTGTAGAGTGAAAACATCGTCAAACAAAATAAAAAAGGCCATTGAAACGCATTAAAACCCGGTTAATGCGTTCCAGTGGGCTGAAAACTTGCTGTCCAGCGAAGATCCTCCATAGAGGCATTCATTTTCCATGCCTGTGCAGCGAGGAATCCGTCCCTAAGCACAGCAGGGGGGGCATTTTCTTCAGCCGGTGGCCATTTTGAAACCCGACAATCAGCTGTTTTTGATAGTCGTAAAGTGAAAATTGGTTCCCGAAGCAGGGAACTGATCATTGCTAAGTGAAATTCCCCCATTTAGACCATTGTTTTGTGATCGCAATTGCGATCGCAAAAACCTCATCGTAAAGTGATTTCCTCGTTAAGCAAGGCAATCATTAAGCGGGGCATGACTCTATATATAGTGTGAAGGTCATTTCTGTGTGACTGCAATAATGCTACTCTGGTGGATTTGTAGCCGGTTGATGAGCCATATATAGAGTATTCCTCAGCATTCAGAAGAGGTGCCGCAGAGTTTTGTCTTAGGCCCAACTTATTTTAACTTCTTTATAAACAACTTGAATGAGTGTGTGAACGTTATTCTCATTACATTTTCAAATCACACTAAATATAGTTCCCAAGTCAGAATTGATTTGCAGAACTAGATCAAAACAAACAAAATGAATTTCCTTTATTTGGAGGTGGTTGGATTTGATCTTTCAGACCTAACATTTGGTGATTCTCTGATCCTTTTGCCATTGGCTATGTTTGCTACACCTGGTGGGAAATATAGTCCAGCTGCCACTAGGGGGCAGTACACTCCCCATCACTGGATTGTGGGTACCGCATTTCTATTGGTTTTTGAAAAACTGTCACCATCGGTAGGAGCCGTTTTTTAAAAAAAAGCCAGTGACTTCTTCTTAAAGAAAACTTGTTACTTATTTACAGTGTGGCTTCAACAACCAGCACCCAACTTCTGGCAGCAATCAATGTGCTGGAAAAGCCACTGAGGGATCTGAAGAAAGCTTTCTAAGCTTCTAGTTCTCAAAAAGACAGGCTGTTTTGTTACAGTGGTGCCCCGCATAGCGAGGTTAATCCGTTCCGGGGAAATATCGTTAAGTGGGACGGGGAAACCCATTCCAAATGGGCCCAAAACTCACCGGTCTCCAATGTTTCCCCATGTTGTGGTGGCCATTTTGGGTGTCCCGGTGGCCATTTTGGGTGCCCTGGTGGCCATTTTGGGTGTCCCGGCGGCCATTTTTAGTGTTCCGGCGGCCATTTTGGGTTTCCGGTGGCCATTTTGGAACCGCCGAACAGCTGTTCTCCAAACGGAATGAGAGGATGCCCTTGCATTAGCGATGGGGAAATCCGCATCGGTATGCGGATTCTTCGTTAAACGGTGCACTCGTTATGTGAGGCACCACTGTATTTTGAAATATTCTGTTGAGAAATCACTAAACCCTATCAGATTTGTATATTGCACCATTTGTGAAAAGCTCCTGCTGTGACATTAAAATGTTTTTAGAATTTAAGGAATTCCTTCTTGTAATGACTGGCTGTTGCTTATAATTTTGGCCTATAATAGGTTTGTGTCTGTGTGGTTGCTGCCCTATGTATATAAGCTTCTCTCTCCCCCCCCGGATTCGAAAAATTGTCATTCTCTTTAAATGGCTCTTAGAATCATAGAATCATAAAAAAAAGAAGTTGGAAGGGGCCTGCAAGGCCAGCAAACAAAAGGCTTTTCCTCAATTACATGATTTACCTAGAGCCTTTCTAAATATAAACACTGCTCGCATCTTTACACAGGAGTACAAAATAAATCATTGGGGGTGCAAAACAAGCCCTTTCACTCTGTAGGAATTATTAGGCCAACACGAATTGCTGTAGGTAGCCAACTTTACTTCTGGGATCTGAAGTCCGACAGATTTTTATTGTATTACGATGCAAAACGGGCATTTGGTAGTTACAAGTACCAGGCTTCTTCAAAGATTCCATTTAAAAATGCGAGAGAATCATAGAATCATGAAGTTGGAAGGGCCCATAAAGCCATCCAACCCCCTGCTCAATGCAGGAATACAAATCAAAGGATATCTGCCAGGTGGTTGTCTAAATATATTTTGAATGCCTCCAGTGTTGGAGCCCTCACCAACTCCCGAGATAACTGGTTCCACTGTCATACTAATCTAACAGTTCGGAAGATTTTCCTGATATTTAACCAAAATCTGGCTTCCTTTAACTTGAGACCATTGTTGCATGTCCTGCACTCTGGGATGATCGATAACAGATCCCACCCCTCCTCTGTATGACAGCCTTTCAAATATTTGAAAAGTGCTGTCATATCATCCCTCAGTTTTCTTTTTTCAAGGCTAAACATGCCCAATTCTCCTGATCAGCCTGGTTGGCCTCATCTGAACTTGTTCCAATTTGTTAGCATTCTTCTTGAAGTGTGGTGTCCAGAACTGGACACAGTACCCAAGGTGAGGCCTAACCAGTGCTGAATAGAGGGTGACTACCACTTCGCGGGATTTGGAAAGTATGCTTCATTTAATGCTGCCTAAAATAGCATTTGCCTTTTTTTTGTAGCCACATCACACTGTTGGCGTAGATTTAGCTTGTGATCTACGACAATTCCAAGATCCTTCTCGCTTGTAGTTTTGCTGAGTCAGGTATCCCCCATCTTGTAACTGTGCAATTGGTTTATTTTTCCGAGGTGCAGTATTTTGCACTTATCCATTTTGAATTTCATTCTGTTGCTTTCGGTCCAGTGGTCCATCCTATCAAGGTCATTTTGAATTTTGTTTCTGTCTTCTAGGGTATTAGCTACTCTGCCCAGTTTGGCATCTTCTGCAAATTTGACAAGCATTCCTTGCACTTCCTCATCCAGGTCATTAATACAATTATTGAAGAGCCCCGGCCCAGGATTGAGCCTTGGGGAACCCTGCTAGTTACCTCCTCCCAGTTAGAGAAGGACCCATTAATCATCACCCTGAGTATGATCCTGTAGCCAATTGTGTATCCACCAGATACACTAGACGCTGTTCCAGGACCTCTGTTCAGAGCACAATACCATAGTCTCTTGAAACTGAAGTTTGCCTACCTCTGTATCCACCTGACACTTGTTCTATCTGGCCCACACCTAGTTAGCTTGCTAATCAGAGTATCATGGGACACTTTATCAAAGCTTTGCTGAAGTCAGGATATACTATGTCTACAGTATTCCCTCTGTCCATCAAGGAGGTGACCTGATAAAAAAACAAGATGAATTTAGTTTTGCAGGATTTGTTCTTGACAAATCCATGTTGGCTTCTAGTTATTGCTGCATTGTTTTCTAGGTACTTGCACAATGACTGCTTGCTTTATTGTCTAGGTCAAGTAGGTGACCTGATCAAAAAGCAAGATGAATTTAGTTTTGCAGGATTTGTTCTTGACAAATCCATGTTGGCTTCTAGTTATTGCTGCATTGTTTTCTAGGTGCTTGCACAATGACTGCTTGCTTTATTGTCTAGGTTTTCTATGTTGACTATGGCAACCGATCAAAAGTAGCTTTGGACCGCTTACGAGAGATCCCAAGCAATCTTCAGGAGCTTCCTTTTCAGGTGGTATTCTTTTCCATTTTTTGAATAAATTAAGGTGTGGTGGTCTGTAGGAACAGAGGTGGGATTTTAAGCATCTTAAAATGTTTCCCAGAAAGAAAACATGTTTCTCTTAATGGGTTGTTTGACTTTGTTAGGCTCTGGAATTCAAAATGCGTAGAATGCGGCCTGCTGCACAATCTCTGATCTGTGGAGAGCAGTGGAGTCGCACAGCGAGTCAGAGATTTGCTTCATTGATCAGCGATTGTGCTTTAATGGTGAAAGTCTTTTCAGTCGTGCACGGCGTCTTGCATGTGGACGTGTTCCGATATTTGGGGGCCGTGGATATTGTGAACATCCGTGACATCCTTATTGAAGAACGCTATGCTGAATTGACAGAAGATTCCTATGAATCCAAGGTATGTCCTTCATCTCTGATGTTACATTGGGGTATAAGAGGACCAAAATCGGTTGTTAATCAAATCAACCTATTCAACAAGCGGGACTTGTTAAGTGAACAGTTATGGTAAGCATTACCTCTTATAAGTAACAGATAGACAGCTATTAGAAGAAGCAACTACAGTGGTGCCTCGCATAGCGATGTTAATTCGTTCCAAAAAAACCATCGCTATGTGAAACCATCGCTATGCGAAACACCATTTCCCATAGGAATGCATTGGAAACCGGTTAATCCGTTCCAATTGGAACGGATTGCCATCGTTACGCGAAAAAACCCATAGGAAACATCGCTAAGCGAAACAATGTATCCTCCATTGGAATGTATTGAAGCTGACTCAATACATTTCAAGGGCTTTGCGAAGTCAATTTTTGCAATTTTAAATGTGTCATACAAGGGGCAAAAATGGGTTTAAATGCTTGGAATAGTTTCTGCACCTTCTAAAACGGGTGCAAA